AATGGTGAATTGATACTAAATGAACGGATTAACTATAATGTAATGATGCTCTAGATTGAGGGCCTTAGAGATTTAAACTTCGATTATACTTAGTATAGTTGTCATTGTACTTGTCAAATGCTTCCAAGTACTGACCTCCCCTTCACGGGGGAGGCCACCTCACAGTTTCAGGTAGAACTTGAAGGTTGCTACTACCAGCCGCTGTTCGGGAAGTTTCCGAGAAGAAGACTTGGTTCGTGCTTTTTCCGTTCTCGTTTTGAAAACAATATGAATAATGCTCATGGATAATATTTTCTGAATAATTACTTTGGGGGCTTGCATGCCTAATTATGCCAAGTGTGGCTTGAACACTTGTATCAATTGTTTCCGCTGCTTTAATAAATGTTTTACATTATGTTTGTTTATGGTTGTACTATGCGTGAATGGTATTCAAGACGCCTTGTATAGTATGGATGAGTCGGACTGCGGTTGATTATTCGTACTGTACGGCGGGTTGTTGACGTGTCCGGGTAGGTCCGGGGCGTGACAGTAAGTCCTGTGAATAATGGTGTCATTTATTTCTGTCTGGATGACAAGGGCATCCCTGTGTGGGGAGGATACTGGGGGGAGATCAGCGTTAGTGAAGATAATGGGTTCCTCCCTCAGCCGCTTTACTGGGGGCATGTGAGTGACTCCCCCCACATAAAGTGATTGAGCTTACTTCTTCCGTTGACTCGTAGAATCACCCCCGGTATTTCCCCCCTGTGATCATGAGGATGTGACGTTTCTTTTCTTGATACCGGGGATACTCCTCCTCCTCCTCTTCCAGATTTCCAATCTCCCTCTTTTTGCCGAGGGGGATGGTGTTGGGGTTGAACCATGTGTTTGCTCTCGCAGTTTGCCCTCGGGGTGGTCCCTGATGAGGGGGGCCCTGTTGCTGAGGGCCCTGGATAAACTGGGACAGATGGCCCGCTTGTATCAATCTTTCGATGGTCGTCTTCAGCTGATGGCAGTCATCGGTCATGTGCCTCTGGTGTCGGTGGAAGCGGCAGTAGGGGTAGTTCGGGTTGATGGCAAATACCTCCGGGGGCGCGCGTGAATCTCGCTCCACCAGGCCTCTCACCTCAGCAAAATCAAGAATAACGCTGACGGGGTGCGTCAATGGTGTCTGAGGGTGCTCCAGAAGGACAGGCTGTGCCCAAGCCCTCGGGTTCCCCTTGTAACCTCCCCCGGGCTTGGCTTGGCCATGCCGGGGGCGATCACCGGAGGGGGCAGAATCCTTGGGATGATTGCGGGGAGCCCCCGGCCCCCGGTTACCTTTGTCGTCCGGCCGAGGGCGTTGGTGATCGGGGACGTGGTGGCATTTCTCCACCTCCTCGGCTTCGGCGTACCGGTCCCCCCGCTGTAAGGCCCTTATATAATCGTGGGGGGGTTCGATGATGAGGCTTCTTGAGAAGTTCCCGGGGCGGAGTACTGTTTGTAGGAGGGCCAGGAGGGTCCCGTCGTCAGCGCCATCAACTTTATCAGCCTCTGTCCTCCAGCGCTCCAGGAAGTCCCGAAGGGTCTCCTCCTTCTTCTGCCTCACTGTTAGCAAGTGGGAGAAGTGTTTTCTTGTGCGGCGCCTTCCCGCAAATTGCGTCAGGAATCGCTGGGCGAGTTCTTGCCATGAGTCAATGCAGCCCTCGGGCAATCAGTTGAACCATTCGTAAGCCGGCCCCTCTAAGGTGGAGAGGAACCAGCGGCACAAATATTCATCTGATGCCCCCACCATCATCATGCTGTTTTGATACCTGCTGTAGTGCTCTTGGGGTTCAGTCTTAACGTCATAGGGCTTGATGAGTTGCCCTCGGTGTTTTTCCGCGATCCGGGCCGCCAATACCCTTAGGGTAAATGGCGTCCGGGTCCGGAGCTGTATGGCGGGTTCCCCGGAGCCCTCGGCTATCTTCTTCTGCATTTCTTCCATCTTGGCCATCATCGCCTCATACTTGAGGTCCGTATGAGGGGCAGAAGTGGTGGCGTGGGCTTTGGTGGCCTCCATCTCGTCAAGCCAGCGATGGAGGGCCACAATGATCTCGTCCCGGGGGTCCTTCGGGAGGGCCTCCGCCCCCTGCGAATGGACCCGGGCCGAGTGGGCCTGGTTGATTTGGTGGCGTGCATCGTCGGCATGGAGGGGTGCTTTGCCTTTGTCCTGAGAAGGACGCCTTTCAATGGCCCTGGAGACGGACCCGCCACTTTCCTGAGGCCTCTGGAACGCCTTCCCCCCGAGGCGGTCTTGGACCCCTCGGCGGTCTTGCGCCCCTCCGAGTCTCTCGAGGGCGGAGGTCCGGAGTCGTTCCTTGTTTATGTTGTGGCGGTCCCGAGACTGAACTTCCTGGGAGGCCGTCTCTTGGGCCACGACCCCCTCGGAGTTCCCCATCTGGAGGACCGGGTTACCGAGGGGTCGTGGATGAGGGGGAGGCATAATATTCTCCCCCACCTGAGGTTGGAGGGGAACCAAAGTGCCGAAGGCACCCGGGTTCTGGGTGAGCGTCTGGATGAAGGCGGAGAGCGCCGATTGCACGTCGATTGTGATGACCGAAAGGCTAATTTGATTCTCGCTCCGGTCCTTTTTCTTGGCCTCGATGCCGAGGCGGGCATCGGGGGCATTTTGTTGAATCTGCTGGCGTAGGTCGACAGCCGTCTGGTCCAACCCGGCGATGACGCCGCCCCCGGGAGCCCTGTTAGAGGCTTCGGGGACGTCGACCTTGCCGAGGGCCAGGTTCTTGTCCTCTACATTCTTGGAGTTGGCACGAATTGTCCTCACCATTTTAGCCGGGTGTTTTGTGTTTGGTCGAGGGGGAGGGTTTCTTACTTGATTGTTCGAGCTCTCAACGAGAGCACCAAATGATGGATAGTGTACCCGGGGGTAGCTTATCCGAGGGGTTATTACGGGGAATAACTAGAGAGAAGTCAGAGCAAGTAAGTGGAGAGAGAATATATTAGAAAGTATGCAGCGTATGTATTGTGACTTACGACTTGTGACTTGGTTACAAATGGGAAAATGGGGTGCTATTTATAGTAGCAATAAATGCCAGACAGGGACACGTGTCAAGCGTCTATTGGCCGAGAGGTCACCTCAACTGGTTGGCGCTGGCAACCGCATGTGACCGCATTTAATGCGGCTGTTGGATGGGACGTTGTACACGGTACGGTGATCCATACGCATGTGGAGCGGATATCATGTCGGAAAAGGCGCCCTCGGCAGTAGATGACTAGCCGAGGGCTCTTAGTATTAGGTACCCCCTCAGTGCCGAGGGCTCCAGTTGCCGAGGGCTACTGATTTTCGCCGTTTTTCCCAGTAACTTTGTTTTCTTGTCTTGGCCCTCCTGTGAGAATTAGAGCCTTCGGCCAGGGGGCCGAAGGCACCCCTGGTGCGCATTGTGGGCTGCTGGGTACTCTGGGCGTTGTGATTTGGGCCTGTTGTGCTTTCTGGGTCTGTTGGGCCTTCATCGGAGTAGTAGGAGTCTGTGTGTCGGGGGTTCCCGGGCCATATACTCCATCAGGTTATAAAATAGACAGAAGCGAACCCCTTAACTATTACTCCGTACTCTATTACCCATCCGATCGAACCGTATATTGTATATCAGTGCTCGGTGAATTTTGAAATTTGATCAATCCCTCTAAAGGAGCGTTTGGTTCAAGGAATGTCAGATTACCATGGAATGTCAGATTAGTGGGTATGCTAGATTGATGGGAATGTATTCAATTTATTCCCATTTGTGTTTGGTTAAAATTGACGGAATGTGACATTAATTTATTTGGTTAAAAGATATCTTATATTGAAGATATGATGGATTACTTCAATACCCTTTAAATATTGAAATATCTTAATAATTAATAAAATCAAATCTAATTGAATTATTTTTAAGTAGGTTTAATTGTAAGAGGTTGTAGATCCAATACAGAGCTGAAAAAACTATGTTCAAATAGCAATCTAAATATATTTATTTTCATTTCAAACAAACTAAATTTAAAAAATGTTCAAGTCATTCGTAAAATTTGTTTTCAAATTAAAGAAAAAATCATCAATTTTGCCATTAAATTTTGGAATCCACTCATTAAAAACTTAAATAATATATAAGTCTTATAACATAAATACCTTAAAAAATTTAAATGTTAAGGACAAGGGATTTATGAAAATAACAAGAATAGACATTCAAATATAATTAAATAAATATACTTCATCCGTTCCACTTAAAAGGTTGTCACACGATCTAGATATTCGATTGACTATAAAATTAAGAAATAATGACAAATATATAACCGAAACGATGGTAATGAACAAAAATATGACTCAGTGACTATAATAGTAACTTTATTGACCATGATAGTGTTCAACTTTACATCATAGTGACTATGCATATTAACCGTAGTAATATTTTTGTCCATAACTTATATTTTAGTACTACCTCCGTCCCTTAAAACTTTGCCAAAGTTGACCGGCACGAAGAATAATAAAGTAAAAATTGTGTGATTGAGGTTTGTGCAGAGGAGAGAGAAATAACAGAAATCACAAATAATTGATTAAAAGGGAAAGTGACAAAGTTTTTTGGGACGTCCCAAAAAGGAAAGATGACAAAGTTTTAAGGGACAGAGGGAGTAATATTTAAGGAAAAACCTCTAAAATTAACTGATCCATGTCAATAATAAGATTATTTTTAGTAAATAAAATTTAATGTTTAGAAACTACATTAAAAGTTTTATAAAATTACAAAAATTCAAATTTGATAAAAGTTGAATACATAGAGAAATTAAATGAAAAGCGATAATTAATTGAGGGTATTTTCGAAAGAAAATTAGATCAACCCCGGGAATGTAAGATAACCTAAGGCATGGAAGGGTATAACATTCCCCTCCATATTACATTCCCGGGAATGTAACGTTCCTGATTTTTTCCAAAAAATGTGAACCAAATATGAGTATCTAACATTCCCTGGAGTAAAATATGTTTCCATTGCTAGTTATCTCTAAACATTTATAACTTCAGGCCGAACTCTCTTCTCAACCACATTTTTCTTTACCAAGTTTATTTAAAAACAAATCAATCCTCCCGGAGATATGGAAAACGTCGAATTTGATGTGATAGTCATCGGAGCAGGAATAATGGGGAGCTGCGCGGCTTATCAAGCTGCCAAACGCGGCCTAAGGACTCTTCTCCTGGAGCAATTTGACTTCCTCCACCACCGCGGCTCCTCCCACGGCGAGTCCCGAACCACCCGCGCCACCTACCCGGAAGAATATTATACTAAAATGGTCTTAGCCGCCGAACCCCTTTGGCGCGAAGCCGAAGCCGAAATTGGCTACAGTGTCTGCTTCCGGACTCCACAGCTGGATATGGGCCCTGCCGACGACAAGGCGCTGCAAGCCGTCGTCTCCTCCTGCCGGAGTACATCCGTTCCGGTCCGAGTTTTGGATCCAAAACAGGTCGATGAACATTTCGATGGTCGTGTTAAGTTGCCGGAGGATTGGGTCGGCGTCGTGACTGAGTTCGGCGGCGTTATTAAGCCGACCAAAGCCGTTTCCATGTTCCAATCCCTGGCCGTTAAACACGGCGCGACTCTGAGAGACCACGTGGAAGTTAACGGCGTGGAAAGAGATGATCGGACGGGTGGCATCTCCGTCAACGCAAAAAGCGGGGATAAGTTCCTCGGCAAAAAATGCGTAGTCACCGTCGGCGCGTGGGCGCAAAAATTAGTGAAAACCGTCACCGACGGCCGCGTGGTGCTTCCGATTCAGCCAGTAGAGACGAGCGTTTCCTACTGGAGGATCAAATCCGGCCACGAAGATGAGTTCACCATCGGATCCGGCTTCCCTTCCTTCGCAAGCTACGGCTCTCCGTACATGTACGGAACGCCGTCCTTTGAGTTCCCCGGACTGCTGAAGGTTGGTTGGCACGGCGGACGCGAATGTGAGCCGGAACACCGCACCTTTGCGCCGTCGGCCAGTGCTTTGAGCTCACTGAAACAATGGATAGAGGGACGATTCGGGGGAAAGGTGGACTCGTCGGCGCCGGTAATGTCGCAGTCGTGTATGTATTCAATGACGCCGGACGAGGACTACGTAATTGACTTCCTGGGCGGGAAGTTCGGCAAGGATGTCGTGGTGGCCGGTGGGTTCTCCGGCCACGGGTTCAAAATGGGGCCGTTGATAGGCCAGATTCTGGCGGATCTTGTGTGGAAGGGATCTTCGGATAGCTCACCTGACCTGGATCCTTTCAGGATTGATCGGTTTAAGGAAAATGGTAAGGGAAACTTGAAAGATTTTGACCATCAAGTAAAGATCTAATGCAAGTAGAGTTTCCAAGTATCTTCAAATAAACGTGAGATTTTCAAGAATATTACTAAAATAAAACATATTTACATAAATATATTTATGACTATTCATTACTTCAATGTGGTGTTGTGCTAATCTAAGATCAAAACTTGAATATGAATTACTATGATTTCATTACTACTCTAATCATTAGTCATATTTTGTAAATCATATTTATTTTGGTTATAGTTATGTAATTATTTCAATAAACATATACTCCGTACGAATTACTAAGTAATTATGTATAACGTGCGGCGTATTTATTAAAATATTGTTATTTGTTTATTTGTATTTTAAAATACTTTTACGTAAATTGAGTTGATGTTACCAATGCCTTCAAATTAAAACAACATTTCACCACCAATACTACTTATAGAACATGAAGCATAACAATGTATGCAAATCAGTAAATGTATGTTAAAATTGAGATGTACAAATAACAATTCTCCAAATGTTAATAAATACTCCCTTCTTCCCGGTAATAATGGGACAAGAGGAAGAGGAACACAAATTAATACAAAGTGGTTTATGTGGTTGATATTGAATTGATAAAGTAAGAATAAAGTAAGAATGATTTAAAATCACACAAACTTTATCAAATTTGGTATGAGACAATCTTAGTGGGACGGACTGATAAGGTAAAATGAGACAATCATAGTGGGATGGAGACGGTAAGATCTTATATTGAATTATTGATCGAATTATAAAGAAATCATGCTCTAAAGTTGTTGCACTACGACTCATTATGTGTCATTTGTAATGATTTTGCTATTGTATAAATGTAGGATATATGATTGCATGATTGAGAATAGGGCAATCATTGGTGTACACAAAATGTGTATACAAATCTTGTCCCTTTTTAAATGAATTGTTAGAGTACAAAGACAACTATAGGGTTTTATGTACACTTTATGTACAATTAATGTTCTTTAAGAATTTTTTTTTTGAGAATAGGAGAATATTGGTCATCTCATATTCTTGGACTTTGAAAAATACTAGATGTACCCTAAATGTGTACACAAATTGTAAACATCTCTCATAGTGTCTGTGTACACAAGAAATTTGTTCGAAAAAAGACACAATTTTATGCCAAAAATGCATGTGTACACAGGCACTGTAGAATTTGTATACAAATTTGGGGTACACCAAGCATTCCTCTTGGAATTTGGGCATAAATATAAGTTCTGCTAAGAGCACCCACTATGTTAATCACCTTCTCTCTTTCACATCATTTCTCTCCAAAAACTTAATCTCCTCTAACCTATCACATTTTCTCCCCACTATGGTAACCTATGTCACTTAAACTTTTTACACTAAATATATTCCATCATTATTAATTTATTTAATTTGAAAAAGGAATATAAAATCCACATTTGACCAACTATAATTATTTATTGTGGAAAAATGAAAATAAGCATATTTTAAAAAAATGTATCTAGGTGGAGAACGGGTTGAATCCATTTTCTGAGAAAAATATATTCTAAAACAAATAAAATAAGATACAAGAGGGAAAGAAGTGGTAAATTTCGAAGAGACTAAACATGTCATTCATGGGAGTTGGGGGGTAGTTATGGGATTGGTGGCTACCATGTTTGGGAGGAGAATTCCTCTTTTCTCAAGCTACTCTTTTTTCAAGGTAAAAAGTCACTTGACCTTCTTTAATTAGTTAGTCAAAAATAAAATGTCAACTCCCACTTTCAACATTGCATCTTGATCAATCAATTCATGAGTTGCCATAGTAAAGATCAAGTGCCATAAATTCTGTTTTGATCCCCAATGACCTTCCCATAGTGGATGCTCTAAGGGCTTATTTTATTGTTTACATGTGAAATCATTGTTTCCAAAATGATTGCATAACAAAATTTATGGAAACAATCGTTTTACTTCTATAATAAAATAGAGATAAGTATCTTAGACATGAGTAAAACTTCTTCACTCTCAATCTATGTCCATGTTAGTTTTTTCTCAAAAATAATATTTAAATTCGTAATAATTAATTAATTAAGTAAGTAATTAAATTTATATGGACTAATATACCCTTAGCCTATTATTATAAAACCCTAAAACCCTAATGAGAGAAAAGCGATCAATGGCAAGAGGGCACAGCTAGATCCAGCGGCAATCGACCGGGGGCTTCAACCTGCAGGGATGGATGAAGATGGCTATGAGAGGATATGACAGATCGCCGGCAACCGATGATCGTTAGTGGCAGCATGAGACTGACTATTTGCAGATCCCCGTCACACGAGTACTAGGGAACAATTGAGACGGTTCTGCGGTCACCAGGGAGGATTCTTATCGCACACCTCCCTTGTAGTTACCTTTCTCGAACAGATACGAACAACAATGTTATTTGAGTTTTTTCAATTCTGATCATATGTCTTTGATTGAGAGGATGAAACAACTTGGACTTATGGCCCGATGGGCGATTTTAGAACTTCAGTGCCCCAGGTTCACGGCCATTCCATATTAGTTGATTCTCCAAAAGGTAGGAATCCAAAATGCAGTGAATAATTTTTCTTTAATGTAATAAATATGATAAATTGATAAGAGGTGTGATTAAGGTTCACAACCTGTTGATATTAGTTATGTCACGTCCCGGACCGGATCCGAGCCACGTAGACAACCGTCGTACAACCCGAGAAGAACAACATTAGTTCATCCTTATTGAATCATACAAGGCGTCTGATAGATTCTATTGCCAAGCAGCGACATTTAGAGCGTCGTTTAGAGCGAGAAGCTCCTTCCAATCTCTAAATCTGCGACGTTTCTTCGACCGTCTTCCCGATGCCTGTGCGGGGGACAGTGCCGCCGGCAGACGGTATTGGGCCGGTGGAATCGCAGAAGAAGCCTCTGTTTGCAACGGTGGTAAGGGACTCGGTCCCCGGCCATCGCCTCCTAACTCAATCTTGCTCTCTAGTTGATGCGGATGCTCTGGGCTCTACTGGATGCTTCAAAGAATTCCGAGCTGTTTCTTTTTCGGACGAAGAGTTACAGGTCCTTTCTTCTCCGTTTCGCTATGCCCTAGTTGGAACCTTCCCATACCCCCCCCCCATTCCTTTGATTCGTGAAGCCATGAAGGCGTTAGGGTTCGCCGGACCCTACTCGGTCAGTCTTCTTAAAACTAATATCGTTTTGCTAAACTTCGAATCTGACCTCGATTTTCAACGATTTTGGGAAAAAAATACCTGGGATTTTTTTTGGATCCAAGATGGTTGTGACTAGATGGACCTTGTCCTTCTCTGTGGACCGGGATTCAACTGTTGCACCGGTCTGGATAGCACTTGAAGGCCTTCCCGTTCACCTGCACGACATCCGAGCCCTTAATTCCATTGCTTCCCTTCTGGGAAAACCCCTTCGAATTGATCTACCAACTGCCCATTTTTCCCGGCCCTCTGTTTCGAGAATTTGTATTGAAATCAACATCTCACAGGATCTCCCCAATGCTATTTGGATTGGAAATGGAAAAAATGTTTTTTTACAGACCATTATTTATGAAAATTTACCAATTTTTTGCCGTACTTGTTCTCGGTTTGGCCACTTTTTGAATGGATGCCCTCGGGCAACTTCAATTTTGGGGGCTAAACCGGGTATGTTGACAAGGCTGCCCAGGTTGATGCTACAACCCCTTTTTTTGATGGTATTGTTGACAAGGCTGCCCAGGTTGGCACAACTGGGTATGCCACTGAATCTGCCCAGATTGCTATCAACACTATGGTTGCTTTAAAGGGTGCTGAGTACGTTTCTGAATCTACTATTGGGGATGCAGCCAACATTGTTGCCTCTGATGTTTCTGAATCTGCCCCTTTGGATGACTCTTCTGAAGCTGCAAAAGCAGCCCCAATTGCAGCCCATATTGATCCTTCTAATGCTACTGAATTTGCCCCTTTTGATGCCATCACTAATGGTGCACCAAAAGAGCGAACTGCGGCCCCTTTTGATGCCATTTCTGAATCTGTCCCTTTTGATACATCATCAGCCCAAACTGATGCTACACTTGCATGTAAATCTGCCCTTTGTGATGCCTACAACTCTGCCCCTTTTGACACAACACCAGCCCTCTTTGTTGCCTACGATGCCTGTAAATCTGCCCCTCTTGATGCTCAATATGAAGTTGCAACACCAACCCCATCTGCAGCCCTTATTAATGTTTGTAACCTTGGCGACTCTGTCCCTTTTGATGCCTTCTCCCATGGCGCAACAGCAGACCCTCCTGCTGCCAAATTTGATGCCCTAAATGCTTCTAAATCTGTCCCACTTGAAGCCTATGATGAAAACTCTCAGATCATAGTGGCCCCTCCTGATCTTGATGTGTCCTCGTTGGCCACCCATCACGTGCTGGTAAACGAGGATATTCATCAAATTGTTACTTATGAGAATGGAATTCATACGCGTGAAACTCATTTAGGATATGATGAGATCATCTCTGATCCAACTTTTGATTGCACAGATACTGCCATTGTCCCTAACCAGTCCAGTGATGAAACATTTTCTAAGGACCCCCAAATGAAATTTCTTTCTGTATCAGGTCATGAAGATAATACTACAATTGATGAGGAAAATCTTGAAGGCTTTACATAGGTCACAAGAAGAAGAGGCAAAACAATATTAATGAACCCACCTGATGAAGTCACAGAAGACAAACAACTATACTACGAGGTGGGATACTCATCTCATCCCATGATCACTAGAAGCCAATCAAAAAGACCTCAGGATGAGGCAGACTACTTTCTCTACCCAGTTGACGAGAGATTCGACTCACTGCAAAAATTAGCAATAGCTCTCCAGCGCTTCAGGTTATCTCGTCCGGATGAAACAACTTTCAGGCCTTATCTTAAGAGGGCCATTAGGTTCCACAACAAATATAACAGATCGATTGCTGCTTCCGTTGGTATCCCCTCACAAAATTTCAATTGTTAAGGCACCTTTTATTTTCCTGCATCTTTCTTCTGTTTTGTTCTTCCTATTTCACAAAATGTATGCTCAGCTCTAACTCTTGTAACATCTTTATTTTAATAAATTAGGGAGGTGTTCCCCGGCACCCCCCCACCTCGTGTGGCCTTCACAGAAAAAAAAGATTCTATTGCCAAACCGATTAGTAAACACATACAATCAGCATCAATATCATAATCAAACAAATGCAGAAATAATATGTTTGTTATTTAGCCACATGTGGCAATCATGAGCACGCATGCCCCAGCTGTTTTAAAGGAAAACATT